TTACTTTTAATATATTCATATTATTACTGCTTTTTACTGATTTTATGATAGTGTGCCTTGGAGTAGTTTTCTTTGGTATTTTTCTGTTTGAGTTTTGTTGAACTTTGTGAACCTAGGGGTCAAATTTTTCATCAAATTTGAGATTTGGGGGGCTACTATTTCTTATTGATGTTCTATTTTAAAATTTTTTATTGATATTCATTTCACATACCATGAAATTTGCTTGTTTAAATATACAATTTAGTGATTTCTAGTATATTCAGAGTTCTGCAATCATCTGTACAATTAATTTCCTTTTTTCGTTTGCTTTGTTTTGTTGTTGTTGTTGTTGTTGTTGTTGTTGTTTTGTACCAGGCAGGTGGTGGCACCACTGAGCTAAATCCCCAGCCCAGAACAATCAATTCTTAAAAAGAAACCCTGTATCAATTAACATCAGTTCTTATCTTCTCTTAATCTTCCAGTCTTAAACACAGTGGGTTTCTGCAAACTTGCCTGTTCTGTATATTTTAAATAAATTAGACCATACAATATTCTTTTGCAATGGTCTCTTTCATAATGTTTTCAAAGCTCATTCTTGTGCATGAACCAGCATTTCATTCCTTCTTATTGTCAAAATTAGAGTGGTACTTTAATAGTTTTTTTCTGCTTCCATGATTAATTTCTTCTGAGCTCTTTTACACAGACACACACACACACATACACACACACACACACTCCCCCATGAGCAAAGTTTGGGGAGTAGAGCCCGATTTGTATGTGTGAGAGGGATGGGAAGCACTGGCCTGCTCACATTTTACTACGTAATCTTTCACTGAATCTCCATTTTTTTCAGTATTACCATCTGCTGTGGTTTTTGCCCACAACCTATCCTGTTCAAGTTCTTCACAAATTATATTTGTTCCCTACAACTTCATCGTTAAAGTATTTTATCCAGTTAGTCCTTTAATTTTCCCTTCTCTTGCCATTTAGCTTATGTATTGAAAGTTCAGCTACAGAGGAAATATTTAATAAAATGTCAGAAAGAAGTTATAGTCTTTATTGTAGCTAAAACAAAATACCTTATGCTGAGTAATGTAGAAAGAGAAAAGATTTATTTAGGTCACACTTTTGGAGGTCCAAGAGCAAAGTGCTGGTGTCTGCTTAGCTTTGGCATGGGCTCTGTGTTTACCTCCATATCAAATGGCATCATAGAAGGAGAATATTCAAAGCAAGGGATATGTGGCAAGACAGGAAGCCAGAGAAATTTAGGGGTCAAGCTCACTCTTTAGAACAATCTGCTCTTACAGGAACTAAGGTAGGTCTCTCAAGAACTACATCAATCCTTTCTGAATGTGGTGCCCTTAGTGACCTAATCACCTTCCACCAAGTTTTACCACTTCAGTACTACAACACTGGGGCCAATCTTCTAGCACATGAGCCTCTGAGGGACAATGTCAAAGCATATTCAAACCACAGAACATGGAAAGAAGTGGGTTTGCTGTGAACTCCTGCTAAACTACACTATCCTGAAATATGCGAAGAGGATGATACTTGACAGAGATAATCTCACTATTGCTAAATCTAGTACATTTCTGTTAACCTCTTATCTCCCCTCATGTTAACCGTTCAACTTCATTCAGTGCATGTAGACACTCCTTCATTTTTGAAGCTCGATTTTCTGTTCTCATACACTACTGACTCTTCCTGGAGCCTTCTCTCTTAACTTGTCTGTAAAAGTTGGTGTGTTTCTATGCCTCTATGTTTCTATGTTTGGCCTCATTATTCTCTATCCATTCTTTCATCTAATCCCATGGCTTTAAATATCACATAAATGCTCTTTACTCTCAAACCTACTAATCTTACTTCTCCATTGAACTTCAGATACCCATTTGACATGTCCATTTCAATGTCCAATAGGCAAGGACTTCTATTCCTTCTCTAGTATCCCCCAACTCACAAAGGCTGCCATTGTCCATCCAGTTCCTCATATAAAAGGAAAGGAGTCATCTTTGATTCTTCTCTTTCTTTTTCTTTTTTTTTTTTTTGAGACAGGGTCTCACTATGTAGTTGAGACTGATCTGGAACTTATTATGTAGCCCAGGCTGGTCTCAAACTCACAGCGATCCTCCTGCTTCAGCCTCCCGAGTGCTGGGGTAACAGGTGTGCTCCACCATGCCTGGCTTCTTTCTTTTATTCTTACATCCTACTCATCAACAAATTCTATGGGATCCAGCTAAAAACAGAACTCCAACCCACCACTCCTCTTCTTCTCCAAGCAACCATCTCAATTACTTTGCTCTTGCAATAATTTCCCAACCGATTCTTTTCTGTCACTCTTGAAAATTATTCTTTAAGTATCAGAGAGAGAAATTCTTTTGAAAAATATAATCATTTCAATAACTTTCTATCACACTTAGAATAAAGTCAAAATTTGTGATTATGTCCTAAAAGTAACTTCATGATCTGGCTATTATGTCTTTCTTTTTAATTTCATATTGTACTGTTACCTCTTTACTTGTTCAATAATTGCTTATTGAACACCTGCAATACACCAGAAATTGAGATAGGCACTGCTGGATGTGGTAGTGCACCCCTGTAATTCCAGCCCTTGGGAAATTGAGGTAGGTGGATCTCTGTGAGTTTGAAGACAGTGTGGGTTATGTATAGTGTATTCAAAGCCAGCCTGAACTACATAGCAAGACTATCTCAACAAAACAAAATATCCCTTCCCCCTAAAAAAAAAGAAATTGAGCTACGCACTACAACCTTGCCACAATGAGCATGCATCTTTTTGGTTCCTTGGACACTCTAAACCAGTGGTGACACACATATGACATGGATGCCACAATGGGCTGTTTATCATTGAAAGCTCTAGAAGGTTCATCATCATTTCTCTGAATTGCCTTTGGCCTCAGAGCTCTTTCATCTACTCTTCTTTATGCCTGGTATGTTCTCTCCCTAGCTCTGTGTACAAATTTCTGTCCTCATTCTTCAGTGTAGATGTCACTTCCTCCGAGGCCTTTCTTGATAACCTAATTTACAATATACACTGCCCTCTTTTCTATTGCATTATCTATGTGAAAGTCATAGCACTCCTCATAATCTTCTGTGCTTCTGTATTTTCCTTCCTTGCCTCGTTATAATGAAATTCCTTGAAGGTAGAAACCTAGTCTATCCTATTTATGTTATTAAGATCAGCATCTATTTCCTGTTTCTCCAAGAACCGAGAACAGTGTTTGGTACCTACAATATAATGAATATTTTAATTTATTAACTTGATGAGGAGGTTCAAGAAAAGCAGGAAGAGGTGACATTGAGGTCAATCTTTAGAATGAGAATTTGGTTATTAGAATATTAATTCTTAAATTATGGTTGTACATTTATTCGGGCTATGCATTGTTAACACAGCCTAAGAGTAATTCTTATAGGCAAAACATCTTGATAAAAATGTCATGCAGGAAAACTTCCCTTAGGGTCATTTGGAGGTTAGCATTTGCATCTCATTACCATACTCTCTTTCTCTGTTCAAAGTTAAAAATATAATAGAGTAAGACTTTTAAAAATAATGACAATAACTGAAATGAAACTTGGTTAATGATAATTAATAACTAATCAGATACTTATCCTGCACTTAAGATTGATGATGCCAATTTGGGAGATTGTACTTTTTCATCACTCTCTCCCAAGAAAAGAAAACTTCCTTATTTGGCCACTTTGTTCCCATTTCCCATGAGGTTGAAGGCAGAACACTGCACACAGCTCAGAGTATCTCTGGTATGTCTTATATTCTAGACCTATACTCTGCTAACTAGGATTGATATAATCAATATATGGTATAAAATCATTCATTCTATCATAAAATCATATTATTGTCACAAATACTGCAACATTATAGAAAAACAAAAAGACTCTGATAATGATTACAAAATGCCCAATAAATAAGTCTAGGAGATCACACCAAAATTTAAAATATTTTTAAATTCAGAATTTATCCCTTGAAATCCTTTTTTCATATTGTAAGTTAAAATAACTAATTGAATTGTGTTTCCTAATGGTCTTTTTATTTTAAACTTCTACCCCAATTGTTCAGTAGAATTTTGGATACTTTGAGGAATTCATTTTTATATATATGTGTGTGTGCATGCGTGCATGTGTGTGTGTGTGTGAGAGTGTGTGTGTGTGTGTGTGTGTGTGTGTCTGTTTGTGTGGCTTAAAGAAGTTCAGGGATGAACCAGTAATAAGTCTAAATTTGGAAATATGACTGTAGTAACATTTTTAGGGTCAGAAAAATGCTGTTTTGAAGTAATTTTGAAAATGTGGGTTCAGTTTATGAGAGAAAGAAGCCCATTCTTCCTCCAAAGATCTCTATGTCAATAAATTATACCCATTGCCAAACCAGAAACTTCAAGGTCATAAAGATGGCTCAGCTCATGGATAACTGTTTCCAGGAAGCCTTTCCTAGTCTCAGGCTATTTTGCTAGGGCTTCTATACTTCTGAAAACAGAATTACATTGTAGTTGTTCAGAATCACATTATTTATACACTGTAGATATCTTAAGTTCAGGGAATGGAATCCTTCCTTCCTCTAAGGATAGTGTCTGACAAATATGTAGTGCCCAATACATATTTGAATAAATAAGTGATTGAATAACTGTGGCATGATATGATATAATATAGTATGAATATAGCTAGTACAAATTAGAATAAGTCCTACACCAAGAGTACTTCAAATAGGAGTAGCCAGAAAATAGTTCACATGTGGGGAGATCTGAGTTAAGAGACAAGAAATCTATTTCTAGCACACAAAATTTGATGGATAATTAATGCCTTCAGGGTATTCAAATAGGTCTGGTGAAAGGGCAGAGTTATATGAATAAATATGTTCAGAACTATGGATTCATGAAAATTTTTAAACAAATGCAAGATAATTTTAAAAAGTGATTATTTCATAGATATTTAAAAATAATTTTCAATTGTAATTTCATGTAAATATTTTAAAATTAAATTTTCTTTACACCTACCTTCACATGTAGTAGTTGGTTGTCAACTGCTATAAGGTGAATAAGACTCTCTAGTATTTCTAAATCTTTTATGTCATCAATATTATTATTGCTGATATTCAATATAGAGAGAGATTTCTATAAGAAAAATAACTAAATTAGCATTTAGCATTATTGAGTAGTCCTAATCCTTGAACATTTTAAGATCTATCAGTTCAGGTTGCTTTGCTCTTTAGATAAGAAAATTTAAAAAGGGAAAATTTTGTTTCAATGCTGTTATGATCTATATCTAGATGTACCCCCAAAGCCTCATGTACTCATAAGTGTATTAGTTCACTGATAAGTTTATAGCTAAATGTGATTTTGGAAGCTAATGCCTAGATGGAGGAGATGGCTCACTGGGGTATGGCCTGGAAGGGTGAATCTTCCACCCTCCTCCCTTAATGTCTCTCTTCTCTCCTCTTCTCTCTTCTCTCTTCTCTCTTCTCTCTTCTCTCTTCTCTCTCTCTCTCCCTCTCCCTCTCCCTCTCCCTCTCCTCTACTCTCCTCTGTCCTGTCTCTCTCCTCTTTCTCCTTCCTCCTGCCATGCCATGAGCAATTCTCTGTCATGCCCCTCTGTTATGCTGCCCTGCCTTGAGTTAGCCAGCTATGGAGTAGAAATCTCTACAAACTGTGAGCCAAAATAAACCTTTCCTTCTTTAAATTGTGGGTACTGGATATTGTGTCCCATCAATGAAAAGTAACTACGATGAATGATACATTTTTTTCAATAGAACTTTTAAGATTCTAGTATATGGGGCTAGGAATTTAGCTCAGTGGTGTTGTACCTGCCTGGCAAGTGCAAGGTCTTGAGTTCAATTCCCAGTATCAAAAAAAGATTGTAGTATATGATATTACTTATTCTTTTTGCCTGTATTTCCTCCTATTACTAGCACTAGAAATAAGTCCTGTTTTTCTCCTCCAGGATATAAGTAAAGAAGCCAAGAATCAGTAAAGTAAGGAAAGAAAAAAATGTCCCAACAAACAAATGATGGCACAGAAAAAAATTGCCGTTTTGTGCTAAATATTGCTAAGATTTTACACACAATGGAAAAATAATCTTTGTCTTTGTTTTTCTAAAGAGGAAACATGACCAAGCATGAAAGAATATTCAGATGTTACTTTTATCTTTACTTTTCTATATAATTTTCTCTTGAGAATCCATGTTCAGAAGACACTTGAAATCATAATTTGCTAATTAATAAGAATTTTAAAATTAGCCATTATTAAAAACATAAGTATATAATTCAGCAATGCTAAATCAAAGTCATCTTAAAATCTGAGGCTGAGAAATCTCTATCAAGTTCCACTGAGGCATCCACACACAACCAACCCTGAAAAAATATATTTTCTAATTATATTTAAAGCTTGAAATAACACTGAAAAAAATGATGTCTTCTACTTGAAATTTCTGCTTGAAGCTATGCAAATACTGAAGTGGTAAAAATATTTTCAGTAGTATTTTGTAATACAATGGGTCAGCCCCACAATGGGGTCTGTCTAATTGGATCAGTTGGACTTGAGCTGTGGTTGTGACAAATGGTTCTATGGGAGGGGAGAGTGTAGAAAGCAGGCCACTTCTGTCTTTTCCAATTTAAAGAATTTTCAGTTTTTACAAATTTGGTTCAAAAAACATCTACTGCTCACCATTTCTGGGCCCTATAAAACAAAATTGATGAAACCTGTATAACAACAACCATGTCCCATTTTACCCCAAACTTGTCCCCTCTCCTGTTTTGAGGATTAGCAAGAGCCTCTGTGGAACAATCTGGCTTCTCAGTTTACTGTGGCACCTCCCACCCTGTGATCAGTTGTGAAGCAATTTAGCTAGAGCCTCAATCCTGGTAATCCTGGGATTATGTGGTTCTAATAAACCTGGCCTATGTGGTTCTAATAAAGCAAAGTTGTATATCATGCAACTTATAATCAAATCAGGGTTTTGGGGGAAAATAACTTCTTACAGTGGCTCTCTAGGTTGTTTAAAAGATGTCAAATAATTATATATTCCTTCCTTAGACTTTTTCTTAATAAAATTTGAGCCATGATGATAACCAAGACCCAAATTATGAATGAACATCTTCTACATTACAGCTTTGATTTACATAAGCTTTCCACATCCATTTTGATCCTTCCAGTTACTCTAAGAGGAGAACATTACTATCCTATTTCATAGTACTGTCATACTCTGAGACTTTATGTGAAAAAATAAGCTTCAGTTCTCAAAGAAGCTCGTAATTGGCCATATAATCAGGCAGAGTACAGTGTCCAAATATACCTTCACCACCTTCCTGTTCCATTATAATTTGTTCATCACTATATTCCTTGTCAAAAAATTCATATGTGGTCTTACTGCCAAAGAGCGAAGAGTTCTTGGATCAAACAGAAGCTTTTCTCCAAGGGGAAGCCTCTGACTCTCAACATGAAGCTCTCTTAGTTCTTCTAAGCCCTCCAAACCTTCTATGACAGCAATGTAATTACCTCCCAAATACCTGAAAAAACAGACATAATTCTAATTAGACTTTCTGAGAATGGCATAAGAAGGTAATAAAAAAATCACTGAGCTGTGTGAAAATTATACCTGCACAGTATTGAGTTTATATTGAAATTGTGAAAGGTTTATCTGAATCACAACAAATTAGACTAAACAACTGAATCTAAAAAGCACATTTTTTTTAAAGTGAGAGAGTTGAAATAATCCTTACTACATTATCTGCTAGCATTTCTCATATGTTAGGGTACAGAAGAATCACCTGGGTTGTAGATTTTAAAATGAAGATTTCTGAGCCTAACTCTCAAGAGATTCTGATTTGGATAACTACTTTGGAACCCTGTAATTTTCCCTTTTAATAAGCATCTCCCAACCTATTCTGAGGCCCTTGTGCACTTTTTGAGAAGCATGGTAGGTACTCCAATCTGAGGAACTTGAATATACCAGTCTGCATTATAATATATAATTATAATTATTGTAGGCTTAAATGCCTTTTTACAATCAAATCTACATCAAAATTATCCATTTTATGACATGGATCTTTTGAGATATGTTATTCTGAAAGGCTTAAAATTTTTCTGGGTTCCATGGAAAGTTTTCACCAGTTGAGCCTACATGAAATTGTTTTAGATGTCCCTATAAGCCCATGAGACAACTTACTGCCCCCAAAAAATAGTATGCAAGCCTTAATAAAGCATAAATTGTTGAATGAAGCAGTCTGTTTCATATGAAATAAATGTAAGAAAATGAAATTGAAGTCTGTTCTGAGAATCAGACTCAACTACATATTCAACTTACTTTTGGAACTTAATGCCAAAAATGGAAATGCCTGCCTGCATAAAAACATATACTATAATGATAACAACAGTTGACATTACTCTAAAAGAAAAGCACTTACAGTTTTTCCAGTTTCTTTAATGATCTGAGGTTCTCTATACATGGAATACAATTGTTCTGTAGGTATAGGTGGGTCAGATTTGTGGCATAATTCAAGTTAGTGATTTCACTAATATGATTATCATATAAATATAAAACACTGAGATTTTTGCAAAGAGAGAGGTCTTCCTAAAAGAAAAACAACATGTTATATTGTTATATTTAATTTCTCTTAGAAACTTGGAAGTTTTTTTTTGTTTTCCAGTTGATCATTCTACAAATTTTCTTAAGGTTAATATAAAAGAAAAATATAATCATATTTATATACAATAGAAACTTTTGGCAGAATGGATCAAGAAACAAAATTCAGTGGTATGCTGTACACAAGAAACACATCTAGCCAAGTGTGGTGGTATATGGTATAATCCCAGCAAACAGGAGGCTGAAGCAGGAAGATTAAGACAAGTTTGAGGCCAGCTTCAGCTACATAGTGAGTTCAAGGCCACCCTGAACTACAAAGTGAAACCGTGTCTCAAAAAACAAAACACACACACACGCACACACACATGTGCACACACACACCAAAACAAACAAAACAAGACACACATTTAACACAAAAAGAAACTCACAGGCTAAAAATCAAAGGGTGGAAAACATTGTAATGAGACTCCAAAAGAAAAGCAAGTATAGCTAGCCTATATTCAAAGTAGACTTCAAGCCAAAACTCATTAAAAGAGGCAAAGAAAGTCACGTTGGTTAAGGGAACAATCCAACAGGAAGAGATAACAATTATTAAAATGCAGGTACTGAACAACAGTGATCCAACTTCATAAAACAAGTATGACTGGACATAAAATATCAGATAAACATAAACAATTATTGTGGGGGACCTCATTACCACAAGATCACAAATAGATTACATGATAAAAAATTAACAGAGATATCACAGTTGAACAAAATCTTCAAACAAATAGACTTTATAGATACCTATAGTGAACCTCATCTATGCAGATGAGTTTTTTTCTACAAAAACTTCAGGGAAAATTTAATAGCAATCCTTAAGTTTTTTTAATGAAATCAAAAGGAAAAGAGTATTCTCAAAGTTATTCCTGGAACTACCCTGATTCCAAAACCTGACAAGGATCCAACCAAAAAAGAGAACTGTAGACTAATCTCTTTAATGACTAGGGATGCAAAAATATTCAATAAATACTGATAAACAGAATATAATGAACTATCAAAAAGATCATTTATCATACCAAGTAGGCTTCATGCCAGCAATACAAAGATGGTTCAACACACACAAATCAATAAATGTAATACATCACATAAACAGAAGCAAGGATAAAAATCACATGAACATCTCAATAGGTAAAAAAAAGGCCTTTAACAAAATTCAACTTCCTTTCATGATAAAAACACTGAAGAAAATAGGTATAGCAGGACTTTATCTCAATCTGATACAAGACATTCATGACAAATCTACTATCAAAATCTTTTTGGGGGGGTTACTGCGGATTGAACTCAGGACCTCGCACTTGCAAGGCAGGTGCAGTGCCATTCAGCTAAATCTCCAGCCCTCAACATCCATATTAAATGGGAAAAAAGGGAAAAGTTTATTTCTAAATGTCAGGAACAAGACAAAGATATCTACTATCACCACTCCTGTTCAACATAGTACTTGAAACATTAGCAAGAGCAATTAGGCAAGAAAAAGAAATAAAAGGGCTATGTACAGGAAAGAAATAAGTCAATTTTTCATTATTTGCAGGTGATATTATCCTCTACATAGAAGACCCCCCAAAATCCACCAAAAGACTGTTACAATTAATGACCAAATTCTGTAATGTAGCAGGGTGCAAAATCAATACACAAAAATCAATATTGCTCCTGTAAACTAATAATGAACCCACTGAAAAAGAAACAAGGAAAAAATACCATTTACAATAATACCAAGAAAAAATAAATACTTAGGAATTAACCTAATGAAGTGAAAGATCTCTACAATGAAAACTATTTCAGTACTCTGAAAAAGGAACTCAAAGAAGACATTCAGAATTTGGAAAGATATACCCTGTTCCTGTACAGGCAGAACCAATGCAGTCAAAATGGCCATATTTCCAAAACTGATACACAGAGTCAACACTGTCCTAAATTCCAAAAATATTCTTTACAGAACTGGAGAACATGGTGCTAATATTCATACAGAACCAAAAGAGACCAGAGTAGCAAAAGCAATACTAGGTAAAAAGAGCAAAACAGAAGGCATCACAATTCCAGACCTGAAGCTATATTACAAGCTACTGTGATAAAAAATAAATAAAAGAGTATAGTGCTGGCACAAAACCAGACACAAGACCTGGGAATGGCATGTCTGTGATCTCAGGATTCTGAAGGTTGAGGTGGGATGACTGGCCAAGTTAGAGGCCAGCCTCCGCTACATAGTGAGTTCAAGGCCAGCCAGAACTATGCAGCAAGTGTCTGTTTAAAAAAACAACAACAAAATAAAAACCAGGCATGAGATCAATGAATGAAACAGAATAGAAGATGCAGAAACAACCCCAAGTACATTCAACTATTTGATATTTGACAAAAGGGCCAAAAAACATACACTGGAGGAAACATAGCTTCTTTAATGAGTGGCACTGGGAAAATTGGCTGTCCATGTGCAGAAGATTGAAGCTGGCCCTGTATCTCTCACCACGTATTAAACTAAAATCAAAATGGATCAAAGAATATATGTTAAAACAGAAAGTCTTAACCTGCTGGAAGATAAAATAGATCAAACCTGAAGTCATAGGCATAGGCAAAGACTTTCTAAACAGAACCTTGGTTACACGGGAAATAATTCTGAGAATCAACAAATGTGAGCATATCAAATTAAAAAGCGTTGGCATAGCAAAAGAAACAACCAACAGTGGCCAGGGTTTTAGCTCAGTGGTTCTACTGCCTGCCTTGCAAGTGCAAGGTCCTGAGTTCAATCCCCAATATGAAAGAAAGAAAGAACTGAGTGAAGAATATAGCCTACAGAATGAGAAAAAATATGTATTACAAACATGTACTAATAAAAAATAAAATAAATTATTTGTCTTAGCATAATCAGAATTAGACTACAGTGATTACAAAATAGGTTTTGGCATTAACATTCTGTAATTTTATGGGTAAAGTTGTTATTTGTAAAGATTTTCCCAGTGCAAGAAATTTTCCTTGTTAACAATTACAGGTATAATGCGAGCTACTCAAGAAGCTGAGGTAGGGAAGATTGCTACTTCCAGGTCAGCCTGAGCAATTTAACATGACCCTGTTGGGAATAAATAAAAGAGCTAGGAATGTATGAGTACTCTATGAGTTCTATGTCCACTATACAAGAAAAGAGAGGAGGAGGGGGAAGTAGAAGGGGAGGAGGAGAAATTGGGTGGGGGAGAGAAGAGAGAAACAGAGAAAAAGAGATAGAGGAAGGGAGAGAGAGCAGTGGACAGTTTTTGCTGAGGCTTTGGTGTTATTCATTCAATTGTTATTAATTCAATAAATATTAAGCATTTAATATGTGTTAGGCATTGTATTAGATGGGGTTAAGAATGATGTGAACAGACTAAACATGATTGCTTGTCCTCATTTAGCTTCTTTTTGAGAAGTTTTCTCTTACTTATACTCTAACATTTATTGGAGACAACAGATACTAATACAAATGCATCTGTCTGACACAACTGATCCAGTATACTATTTATTTACATAACCAATTAAATTAATGCAAAAAAAGATCTCACCCTTTGTTTTTTGGGGTGGGGGTGGTCCTGAGCCTTAGGTATACAATACCTACCACTGAACTATATCTGTATCTTTGGTGTTAAACTTTTGAATTATGGTACTAATATAAATATATATGTGTGTATCCCAATGCTTTGGACTATTCCAAAAGTAGTTATCTTTGGAATTACTTTCCTAATCTGGTTTTCCACATTATAGAGCATTGTAGGGAGAACAGTAAACATATGTCTTTAACTGTTTTTTTTTGTTTTCTGAGACATGGTTTTGTGTTGCCAGATGATCCTACTGCTTCGTCCTAAATATCTGGGAATACAGGAATGAGCTATCATGTCCATGTATTTGTAAAAATCACAGTGGTATATTTTATAGAGACCTAAGTTAAATAACTTTAATATAACAAAAAGGAAATTAAAAATAAAACAATATAAAGTTTACTGGTAAAAATGTAGATAATAAGTATAATCAAAATAGAGTTAATGTATTAGGTATGCCCTCAAATCAATTTATACATTTTACATTGTTAATTAAATAAAATAGGAAATAATTTTAGAGTTCTTACAACTGCATCTATATTTTTGTCTGAAAAATTTATATGAGTTATTTTCTTCAGGCATTGTGCAATTGTTTCTTCTTTTCGAGGTTTTAGATTGCTCTTTTTGGCAATCAGATTCACAGTTAGTCGAACCATTATTTCTTTATAAATCAAATCTCAGCAATAGCTGTGTTGATAACATGTCCAGAAGCAGGTTTAGCTATTGTTTATTTCCATCTTTCTAAAAATTAAAGAAAAAAAGAGTATTAGCAATTTAGGAAAGGCTGTTTTGACTTTAATTTTCTGATATAATACTATTGGACTAATTTATAGGTTTTTTTTATGGGTATTGAGGTATTTGCTAAGTTTATAGGCTTAACTTTCTCTAGTAAAAAGGTTTTAAGCACCAAAACTAAATGCATATTACTCATTCAATTTTACTTTGTAGTTACTTTGTTTG